AGCCCGTACACCTGCGGCCTCACCGGCAAGTCATACTCGGCATCCGAGGTGAGGGAGCGAACAGACCTACTGGCGAGAGGAATTTCCAAGAAGCTCGAGTTTGGCCCAAACGAGGGTACTGAGTGGGAGAAGGTCGTCTGCCTCTACTCCCTAAACACAGTGAGTAGCATTCGCGCCCCAAATACCCCAATTTCCACAGGACTAAAAGAATGCATAGATCGACTACATCCCCTTCACCCATGCCATTCACCGTTTGTCGGGTATCGTTACCCCCGCCAGTGCCGCGTACTCAGCTCAAGAGTTGGAGCATCAGCTGCTGTCGTCCAATTCGAAAGCTCTCTTTACCTGCATTCCGCTGCTTGAAACCGCGCTCAAGGCCGCGAAGGCCGCAAAAATCCCCAACGACCGCATCTTCCTGCTGCCAGTACCGGGCGCCGATCAAAAAACACCCTATGTTACTGTCGACGACTTGATCCAAGAGGGCAAGGCTCTGCCGGAGCTGGAACCTCTCAAGTGGGTCAAGGGACAGGGAGCACGCCAGGTTGCTTACCTGTGTTACTCAAGCGGCACTTCGGGTCTACCTGTGAGTACTTCTCATTCCTAGTGGCCGATGGGCCCGTATACGGAGGTTTGCTGACTGACATGTCTGCAGAAAGCTGTAATGATCTCACACAGGAACGTTATCGCCAACGTCCTGCAATTCACAACATACGAAACCGTCGCGAGGAGAAAGCTTGGTGTAAGGACACAAGCGACCCTCGGTCTTCTTCCCTTCAGTCATATTTACGGCCTGGTTGTCATTGCTCACTGCGGCACTTGGCGCGGCGACGGGATCATTGTCCTGCCCAAGTTTGAGCTGAAGCAGTTCCTCGATGCCGTACAGCGCTTCAAGATCAACTGCCTCCCGGTTGTAAGTTCCTATTTGCGGTATTGCGAGCATGACACACCCTCTAACGCACGCAGGTCCCGCCAATTGTCATCCAAGTCATCCGCAACCAAGATCTTTGCAACAAATACGACCTTACCAATGTGCGCTGGGTATACACAGGTGCGGCGCCGCTTGGCGCGGAAACTGTGGAGGATCTTAAGAAGCAATATCCCAAGTGGCACGTTGGCCAAGGATACGGTGAGTTTTTCGTTTCCATCAATTTCTTGGCAATGTTTACTAAGAAACTCTAGGCATGACCGAGACTAGCACAGTCGTCTGCACAACCTCCGAGATCGACATCGACGTCGGATCATCAGGCTCCCTCGTCCCCGGCGCACGCGGCAAGATTGTCGATCCCACGACGGGCGTTGAGATCACAGAGTACAATACCCCCGGCGAGCTCTTGGTGCAGTCACCCTCCGTCGTGCTGGGCTACCTGCACAACGAAAAGGCCAACGCCGAGACATTTGTATGGCATGACGATGGCCGCTGGATCAAGACTGGCGATGAGGTCCTCGTCCGCAAGTCGGCAGAGGGCAACGAGCACCTCGTTATTGTTGATCGTATCAAGGAGCTCATCAAGGTCAAGGGCCACCAGGTCGCCCCTGCTGAGCTCGAGGCCCACTTGCTCACCCACCCGGCCGTGTCCGACACGGCTGTCATCCAGGTCCCCGATGAACGCGCCGGCGAGGTGCCCAAGGCGTACGTGGTCCGCGCCGCGGTCTATGCCTCCAAACCCGAGGCTGAGGTGTCAGCCGAGATTTGCAAGTACGTCGAGGAGCACAAGGCGCGGCACAAGTGGCTCAAGGGCGGCGTCGAATTTGTCGATGTCATCCCCAAGAGCCCCAGCGGCAAGATTCTGCGCCGTCTCCTCCGCGACCGCGAAAAGGAGGCCAGGAGATCTAAGGGTGCCAAGCTTTGAAGTATATAATGTGCTTGCGTGTGCTTTTACGGACTAGGGGAGTACGACATTTGGTCTTGTGTTTAGAAGGGTTGGATTGATGTGATGCTGGGTATTAGATGATCGTTCGGGATGTGCGTTATGCTACGGAAATGCACGAAATGCTTATATTTAGCGTCTTCTGTACATCAATCAGGATGCTGGTTATTTTTGCTGAATACGAGTTCAGATAGGTTGGCTCCGAAACGAGTGACGTCTGAGCCCCTGCTGTCGTCCTTGTGAAAGTCTAACGCGAAGTGAACAAGTGTCGAAGAAACATGTATCATTTTGGCTTCCGTCCTAAGTTGCTTGACTACGAACCCCCCGATTTCGAAAGCATGCCGTTCAACCTACTTAATATTCTTCAGTGTCTGCTGCAAACTTACGGGGTATAAGGAGCGCCAATCAGGTGTCCCTCGTACCTAGACAGGCTGCCAAAGTCCTAGAGTCAATGATCCTGACTTGCCAAACCGGAACTCTCATCGGCTAACACCCCTGAAGAGCCTCAATGCTTAGTCGCTGAGCATCTCTTAGCGCAACCAGGGATCCAAAACAACCAAGCCTCTCAACGTCGCAGAAACCCCATCGAACAAAGCCCTTCGCCTCTGGTAACTTGCAAGTGGATCTAGAACTGGAACTTTTTGGAAATTCCCATGGAAGCATTTCACCGTGGCAAAACAATTTCCTCTAATTCGCTGTCGCACGCGGGAAGATCAGGAAAAGAATCTGTAATTCATGGCTCCTCCCGAGTGGGAGACGACCACCCCTCCCCTTCCCCCCGGACCGGGGTCTGAGGCGACAGCCCGAGCGGTTGTGCCTTGCGGCTCGCAGGGGTGGACCCGGCGCCCGGGGTCGGTTTCGAGTTTCGCTTGTAGGTTCTGGACGACCACTGACCAGAAACCTCAAACGCTCTGCGACACCTTGTTGCACAGCTTGCGCCCTGGATCGCTCTGCTCCCGAGTCGGGAGAGACAGCGCCAAGCGAAACAGTCGTCGAGCTTCTCACTGGCAATCCCTCCCTTCTCATACACACCTTAGGTGGCTGCGTAACTTGCGTATGCCCAGAGAGGCGCTCTTTTGGTGCTATTGTCACCGGACAACCTAGTTCCATGTCGAAGGCAACTGACCAGTCATGTTGTTCCCCCTTTTCTCCCCTAGCAAGTCGAAGATCGAAAGCCACTCCCGTCCTTTTAAGTCTTTGACTAATGAGACTACACGTCTACAAAGCCAGAAGGGGCGATCAGACCCAGACTGACTTGTCCCAACTCTCACACACAACCGAGTCCAGGCGAAACAGAGACAACACAAGCTTATCCCCTCCCTTCTTTTTCATCTCTCCATCTTGCAAGTCTTGAGATGGTTCGCTTCGCGGGTGGCCTGTATGGCCCCGCTGGCTGGCTGGCTGGCTAATGGACTCGTCTTTTCCCCATGTTCAGTCTGAAGACGGGGGGCTTCGCTCGAACCCCATGCAGAGAGCCCAAAAGGAGACGGGATAGAGCCAGTCACGATGGCTGGCCAGTGCAGAAGCGAAGGCGAAAGGGCAGGGGGGAGAAGCCGTTGGTTGTCATTTCGGACGGCGAGACCGCGAGTGAGAGGAAATGTATTGATACCCATGACCATTGATGGGATGGTCGATGCTTATGCAGCAAACGGTTCTTTAAGATAAACCTAACCTGCCACCCCATCCCTTCCTTTTGGGTTTTCTTCCTCCCCTTTCCTCTCCTGCTTCCCCGGGTTTCTGGGAAATTCCGAATTCTGTTTCTTTACCAAGAATTTCTTCCAAGACATTTTTGATCTTCGTGGGAGAGCGACGCGCCGCAAGCTTGGCAGCTATACCTTCCATTCTCTAATTTTCCGTCTTTAATATCGACTCTTCTTTCTTCTTCTTTCCTTCCCTTTTGACCTCAGGATGTTGACCGTCCGCTCCCCCGTCGCCGCCCTCGCGGTGGTCCTCAGCTTGCTGAGCGTCGTCCACGGCGCACCTCAGCCCCAAAACAGAAAAGGAAACGGAAACCGAGGCGGGAACGGAAACGGCCGCGCCAACAGGCAGACATCGCAGCAGCAGGCCGCGGCAGTGCCACAGGGTATCTCGCAAGCGACTGACGGATCGATGATTCTGGACATGACCGCCAACGTCAAGTAAGTCCCTCGCTACTCTCGACTCATATATTCTACTCGTGGGAGTTATGAACTAACACGGCACTCACAGCGGCCTCGATCTCCGCTTCAAAATCAGCGGCCCAGCCGAACAATTCACCGCCGCCTCCGGCGTCCCCGGCGCCGCAGCCCAACCAGGCGCCCAGGGCACCCTCGGCCTCAACGTCCTCCTCCACGGTGATGGCGGCCAATCCTTCTTCGACATGCCCAACCAGGGCGTCCAACAGAACCTAGCCGGCGTCGCCGTCCTCGCTCCGGACCCGAACCTCTTCTGGGGCGGCGGCCAAGGGCTCCAGCGCACCGACGGCGTAGCCCACTCCCAGGCCGTCAACGACCTCGTCCAGAAGACGCTGCCGCAGATGATGGCCTTTAACCAGTCCAACGTCTTCTTCACCGGCGTCTCGGGCGGGTCGCTGATGCTTTCGGGTTTCTTCATGCCCGCGCACATGCAGAATTTTGCGGGCAATGGTGTGCTGCTTAACTGTGGTGGCTTGCCCCCGCAGGTTGATGTTGTCGACGCCAAGGCTGTCGCGGGAACGAGGATTCATTTCCAGAGCACGCTGCAGGAACTCTCCAACCTGCAAGAGGCGATCCCGGCGTCCGTCAAGGCGTACGAGAAGATTGCGACGGATGCCGGGCTCAGCACCGACCAGGTGAACGCCAAGCAGACGGTCAACAACTCGCCCAATGGCGGGCACTGCGCTTTCGACGAGCAGGGGTTCGTGTCGGGTATTCAGCTTGTTGCGAATAACTACGCGGCCATTATGCAGGGCGGTAACGGCGAGGTGCAGGGGATTGGTAATGTCTTGACTGGTGTAACTGGCAATGAGAACTTGCAGTTCACTGGATCGAGCAGGATGAGGCGGAACATGATCGGTTGAGAAGGACTGCATCTAGTTCTGGCGGCCGTATTGGGGAAAGCATGATGTTGATACCACGCCCTCTCAGGAAACATATATCAAAAACTGAGATTCAATTTCAGCTCCTACTTTGCCGAAAAACTGAGGAGACCTTCGTTGGTATGATTGGATTCTCGTATCAAATATGAAATGGTTGAAAACAAAAACCTTATTCATCCAAGAACTGGGCTCTCTGGTCTCGCAGAGCTATTCTTCTCCGTTACCCCTTCAACATGCTGACTACCCGGGACCGAGAGCTCTTGAGCAGGAACTTCGTTTGCAGTCATCTCGGACGCAGGGCTCATAGGCAGTGGCGAAATCGGGTACGATCCTTCGAGCTCCATGATGATTCGATGCGGGATACAATCCGAATGGAGCTGTGGCTTTTCATATTCCTCTTGGCCGTAACCCCCGCGGCCAGTACCACCAGTACTAACATCATTCGCCATTGACTCCTCTTTATCAACCACCCGCTGCCTCCGTCGCCTCAGAAACCAAAGCGCGCCAAGGACGAGCATGATGGCTGTGATCACGCCAATGACTGGTCCCGCTATCCATGCCGAGTTCCCTGGTATTGGTCCTGTTTCTCACTTATTTAGCGTCGCCATCGTGTGAATAAGGGTCTTTTCAAAAGGCACAAACCTGTATCTCCTGTTCCAGTTCCAATTGACGTCTCTGACGGAACCCCCCAGGTTGACGTGCTACCCGTAGCAGTGCTGTATGTACCCTTGAACTCCGTCGCCGTGATCGTCTGGATGTTCCCCGGCACCACGTTACCATACCAATCTGTAAGGGATCCCCAGTACGCGCGGGTGACGGTAGTCAGTTGTGACGGTGCGTACGTCCAGTCTGAAGGTCTGCCGCTGCAATAGTCACGATAGTCTTTGAATTTTGGCTCAATCTCCTCGGGTATGTAGGTTTTTGCAATGTCTAGTGTGTCGTATAAACAATCTATACACGCTTCGTACTCTGTCTGAAAGTACGCGTCTTTGTGGCAGATCAGTGGCTGTTTGCCGACTGCCTGTATATAAAGATAGAGGGCTTCTAAGACGCAGTTGTGGTCAGTCGCTGGCCGCAATTCCACTCCGATAGATCGAGAAACTCGGTTCAAGGGATGCGTACCGAAACGTTTGAAGCAAGGTTCTGCTGGATCTGACATGTAAAACCCATTGCTAGAGCGGGTCGCCGTCATTGATTCCGTATTAATTAACCAGAGAGTCGTCACAGACCTCGACGCTATCGTTGAAGCTGACATGTCCAGTCGAGTAAAAGTGCCCGATTAAATCAGGTCATTGGCGTTTCTTCTTTGGCGTGATGTAACTTATGATGGTTCCTCCCCCGCAAAAAGGAGCGTCAGACGTGGAAGATGCTGACAAGCGTCAATGTACGGGAGCCATTGGGCTGGCTTTATATGGCCGCGAACGGCACGCCATGCCAGAGTGATCGGTTCCGCTGCAGAGATGTTTGCCCTTCTTGGCAACGGGTATGAGCCGCGTGACGGGAGTCCGTGATCTCCGGTGCGGCCAGTCCGTAAGCACGATCCCGCAGGCCGAATGGGATGGTGAGAGTGTGTGTGGTGGATGGTAAGCGCCCAATGAGAGCGTGCCGTCACGCAGTGTTACTCGACCAGAGTGTGATTCGTGGTGATGGCCGTACGATGGCTTGTCTTACGTGGCGTCCGGGGTACTCTACTCAGTTACCCGTGGGAAAATACAAAGTGACCATAAAATGCCCCCTTAAAATGGAGGAAGATTGAGCCGGATTATAGTTCTGGTCGACTTACACCAATGTTTGCTGGAGGTTTGAGGACGACGCGGGTAGTTGCGATGTGTATGGAACGGAGACTAACCATGGTTGGAAAGAGTAGCACGAAGTTCTTTACTTCTTCTATACCGCTTGGTATACCACTTTCCTCTGTCCTTCGTGTACTTCTCTCTCCTTGCCTCACGTGGCCGTGTGTACTCATCCCGTTCAATCACGTCTCTCTGGCAATTCTGCAACGTGGCGGCTGTGAAGGACCGACATCTCCTGCGCAGCGATCTCATTCGCGCTCATCTCTGGTACTGGATCTGGGTACGAGCCCTCGAGCTCCATAGCAGGCTTCGGAGGTAGACTGTCGGATTGAAGCTGTGCCTTGGTGTACCCGTCATCTCCTTCGCTCAAAGGCCGGTCAGCCTGTCGCCTCCGACGTCTGAGGAACCAGAAGCCGACGAGGAGAACAATGACCGCGATACAGCCGATGACGGGGCCGGCTATCCAAGCTCTACGGATAGCTCGAGGCGCATCGTGTCTTCCAGTCAGTCTTGAGACTTCCAATCAAACACCAATGTGGCGGTCACGAACCTGGAGAACCTGATTTTGTTGGTGTTGCATTTTGCGAGGAAGCAGATAAAGTAGAAGAGGTAGACGAAGAAACGGTTGAAGTGGCTGGATCGTAATCTATGGGGACCTTCATGTTAGTCGTCCGGGTCGTCAACACAACATCACGGTTAGAGAATGTGACAGTTTCGGCGTATGTGGTCGTCCGCACCTCCATACATAGATCCAGGTACTGTTGAAACTGGGGTCCAATGAAAGTCTCGAATTGGTCTTTGTATCCATTGACCTCGAAGCAAACTTGGCACTTGATGAGCAGTTTCGCAAAGTCCGAGCCGAGGTTGCATGAAGAGGGGTCGTTCCCGACATTTTGCACCGTAAGGTAGGCATCATCTGCACAGAGGCTGTCAGCCATGGAGCGCACATTGCCGAAACAGACTCACTACAGGTATCTTAAAAAATAGCTGGGAGTATAGTCTCGTTTCCATCACTTGTTGGCGTGGGTCGCACGGTAGTGGTCGAAGTTGGTAGAATAGTGGCAATTGATCCGGCCGATGGACTTATTGACGTATCTGACATCGTCTCTTTCTTCTTTTTTTTGACAAGACTAATTATGTTTTCTCTTCGCCAATGTTACTACTGTAAATAGATGTGTTTCTTTGTTTGCGGGGCGTCTCCTGTCGAATTTCAACTGGGGCATTGTTTTTTATAACCCAAATTTAACGGCATGCACGTCTCGAGCAGAGAGGTCGCTTTGCAGCTGCTTATCGTCTTGGCAGGCTTTGAACTGCTTGTTTAGGACTCTATGATGGCACGTCAGTCATCTCAAGCCAATGAATGGCTTTCTTATCGTACTCAAAATTAGGCTGTGGACCAGGGTAGAACATAACCTGGACATATGCTGTGTGACACCCCAAGGCGGCATCGCACTCGTGATAGTCCTTGGATCTATCGGTTTGGCCGGTTCGGTCTCCATTGAGCGTTTAATTTGTCGTATAGATATTCCCAAAGGATTATCATTGGTAGCGAGTTAGACTCTGGACGCAGTCTTCGTTCTTCCGCAGCCTGCTTGATGTGAAGTGGCAGCTACCACCTCGGGACTGGCTTGGCCAAATTCAGATCAGGCTGTAGTGTTATAGATACTCGAGGAGCCCGTGGAATCACCAAATGGTTTTCAGAATTTCTTGCAATTATTGTATTCTTGGACGCGGTCCCTCGCAGTATCTACCCTCTGACATTTGACACGCTGCCGCAACGTGAATGTTGTCCGCTGCCTGACCCAAACTCTACAATCGATCTACCATTTCAAAGCCACAGCCATTCATTCAGCCAAAGTGATGGAGTTGACCATTCTTGCGACAATAATCATAGACCTTTGAGGTCCATTTGGCATCGTGCTGTTGCTGGTCGTGGCCCCGTTTCTTCGTCATGCCCTCATGCATGAGAATCATCTCTCCAATCCGAGCTCTGGATAGCATCACGCACAAACGTTTTGGGTCGTCGAGGAAGCCAGCGCTTCTCGTTCTGACCGTGTCAACAAACACAAAGTCTGCCTCATGTCCTTGAGCAGAGTCCACAGTGCGGGCTTCAAGAGCATTAAATCGTAGCTCTACATCCATTCTTCCACGGAAGTGAGGCGGAATGGTCTTGATGAACTGCCTGTACCGAACCAATGCAGCCTTGTATGGGGTGATGATCAAAATTCGTCCAGGTTGATCAGGCTTGCCGATCTGCTTGAAATTGGCGTGTTTAAGCAGCTCGTAGCAGCGCTGCTTGATAAAGTTCTCGTGAACCTGGTTGTAGAAGCTAGATCTGTCTCTAATCTCCCTAGAGTACCGTAGATTCAGGAGGATTCGAGGTACAGTGCATTCCTGGCCCCTGGTGAATTGACCAAGCCATCTTTGCATGTGACGTACGGGGTCAGAGAAACGCTCAGCTTCAGGAATTCCTGAAGTCAGTTGCCCATCGTAGAACAGCTCTGACGCCAAGGCTTGGAGGTCTCCATACATTCCTAGACGCCGTTAGCTATCTTGTCTAAACCAACATTCGAGTACAGTGCTTACGGTGGCTAATTAGAAGCTTGCTCTTCAAAGCCCCGGCGAGATCCGCTCTTTCCATGGTGCTAATCATGAGTTGCTTGGCATAGACATTCTCGTTCTCTATACCCTTGTCGCCTTCAACGAAGGGTCTGGTTTGTCGGGTATCGCCGGTGAGAATGAACACACACGGCGAGTACAACGCAATCGGGATGAGAGTTGTTAGTTCTCTTGCATGAGCAGCCTCATCGAGGAACACGATGTCCGGATGGAAGCTTTTGCTCAGGTACCCAGACGCTCCTACAGGAGTTGTCGCGATGAAGTCGGCATCTCCAATAACGGAGAGATAGAGTCTGGCTACACGAGCCTTGAGCTCTCTTGCAGTTTTCTTGGTCTTCACCGCACCGTTCAAGAGCTTATCGAGTATCTTTGTTAAAGACTTGAATCTTGTCCGGTCGGCATCGTACAGCTCCCAAGCAGTCTCATCCAAAGAAGGCGCTCGATCGCCACGTGCTTCCTTGGGAGAAGGAGTACCGGTCAGTAGACCGGTAGAAGCACGGGCTTGTCTGAGGAATCCAGCAGTGAAGTCAGGCTCGTCATCTTCACTTGTCAAGGGTGCTGGGTGAAGCTTTGCACTGCTTCGCATCTCGCGAGCGCAGCCGCGGACCCTGATCACTGATTTATTGATTCCGGCTTCCCTCAACGTCAAGTATACCCTGTCTGCTGCATCGTCGCAGGGATAGTTGACGTCGAGAAGATACAAAATCTTAACTGGCTTGCGTATCTTCTTGCCATCGTCGCGCACAAGATTGCGAGACTGAGACATAGCCATGGCAGAGATGAAGGCATTCAACGCCGTCTTTCCTGCACCAGGACAACCGAGAATGATCGCGAGCCCCGCAGGAACTCGACGAAGCTGCTCATACACACTCTTGTGGTCCGAGTTAAGTCGGCTGTAGACTGACTTTAGGTAGGCGTTCGAATGGCGCGAAGGGTTGTCCATATGTGGAATCATGTCGAACATGTTGACGTAAAAACTTGGCTCTTTCCGGAAATCCAGCAAGTACTCGAAAGTTCCAATGGTGTTTTCCGATAATTCGTTTCCCTCCCTCTTCGGCTGGGTCAAGATGCTCAATGCCGTCAATTCAGCTTCATATGTGACAGGATTCTGGTCGATCCGAAGGCTGATCTCAGCAGCATTTTGAAAACTGAGAGGTGTTGGGCCAAGAATGCAATCTGTGCCCTGCGTGACCGCAATAGACCAGAGAGGGTGGTACTGTTCCTTCGTGGCCGGGTCGGCGACGTATTCCATGGTCACATTGAAAGCTGCCAGCAAAGAATATTGGTACATCTCCGGGATCGTCTCGTACGGGTTGGGAATCCGCTGCGCTGGCAGAGTTCCAGGGTTGTATTTCTTGCCCCTGCAAATGAAATCTCGTTTGAACGAGATGTTGCACATGTCGCCCTCATCAGGGAAGTAGCGTTCCGGTGTCGGGGGGAGTTCTGCAAGAACGATCCACTGCCTTTGCAGGTCTGACACGATGAGGGAGTATGGTCCTGGTACGGGCGCAATGACCCAGGCGTATCTGGTTTCAGGCGCTTCATTGAAGCGCTTGATTGCAGATGCCTCGTTGGACATCTCTATGATGGTGCCTTCACGATGGACTCGGGCGAACTCATGTGCGCTGTTGAAAGAGTGAACCATTCGGCGGCCGCAGTCTCTATTAGACAGCTCTAGCTAGTGAAGTTAGTTTCAGGAAGGAAAAAACGGGTATGGCATGAAAGGAGAAGGCTTACAATCTTGTTCGGCGTGGGGAATGTATGGATTTCCTCGTCAATGGCAGCAGTGAGATCCATGGCTTGCTCAAGCTGATCGTGAAGAAGGGAAGTCTGGACGTCGTCGATGGGCCCGCAGCCGACATTCCAGGTCGCGTAAAGCATCTGTTTGTTTTCAGCGAGAGTTCGTCAACGGCAGCACAAGTGCTGGAATAACCGACTTTGGTATGTCGCCTCGAGGGATGCGCAATGGTGCCAAGCCGAGACAACCTATGGATGGTGAAAGCGCCGCGAAGGCACTAAATGGTAGGTCGAAAGCCGTATTTGCGCAGCTTTCTATTTCGTGCCAGACAAATTATTGTGAATTGCGTACAAAACGGAAGGGTACGGGTG